TGGCTTACTTGGTTATCCTGTGATGTACCACCGGTCTTGATTTCTATTCCAACACCACAGTTCTCGATCTGGATGTTTTGCCACGTCCAACCCCTACCATAGTCATGTAAATACCAGAACTCCCGAGAAGACTAGGATCAGACCCACCAGTTCCAAATTGCCTGAATGGCTATCTGGTTGTTGGAGAACTTGACATTCCTGACTGTGAATCTTTGAAGACGTCATCAGATATATGGTTATCGATAATAGTAGTTTGATACTTACTGTTGATTTCCAACAAACACACCGAGACGGCCTCCAACGAATTCCAGGTCGCTCATGAGACCTCCAGAACCGTTCTCCATGAAGATCTGTGAATAATTTGAGATACAGGCCTCGAGAAAGAAAGATTGGGATACTTACACCTTGGTGGTTCGTCGATGGGTCTTGAGACATGATAACCTTGACAAAGGCCAGCGAAGTGGCTTGAGAGACTTGCCAGTGGAGACCCGTCGCAGTACTCGACACAGGCATCCTAGTGAGATCAATGTTGAAGTTACGGACAGCCCTAAAGAAGTTCTATTGGGAGAATAAGAATGTTTCGAATCGTCATTACGACTACATACGTTTTGGTTGACCCAGTACTGTCCATTGGCGACGTAGGGGTCGGCATCTGATGGCGCATTAGAGACACGTAGGGGGCAATTGATGATTTCTATAACGTACCAATGACAGCCATGCCAGTGAAAGAGGCAGCGGCAGTGATTGTAGGACGGTTCTTGGGGTTACCAACAAGGGCGGTATAGTAGAAGGCTAAACGAGGTCAATTGAGCAATTGAAGTTATGATATTTAACTATACGTACGAATGATCGGTGCACTGACGACATAGTTGCCACTGGGGAAATAAACGATTGCAGGTGCGGTCGTGGTAGATTTACAGCCAAGACCACAACGATTTTGATCTATTCATAACATAAGGAACCTGGAATCAATGTTCACTGAGCGTGCTTACCAGAAATAGCAGCGTTGATGGCCTGTTATGGAGACACATTCAGTCAAGGTGCACCAGGAATAATGAACAAGGCTTACAGCAGTGTCGTCGGTTACACCATCACCCTTTGCTCCATAGTCTTTCACGTTACGGTATACCTTGTACGTGCTTGGGTTGGCGTTGAAAGCGGCGGTACCAATATGTGGCATGTTTTGCAACCACCATGGATCGCTCGATCCAGCTGTTCCAGACCCCAATGGAGCAGAGCATTGGGACCCGAGCGAGCTAGAAGTAGAGATAGAAGTAGGAGCAGAAGAAGTGGAAGAAACAATGGTACTGCTGCGAGATGTCGTACTGCTACGGGATGTCGTCGAGGTCGAGCTGGAAGTGGGAGTACTAGTTCCAGCTGTTACAGTCACGGTCACGGTCACGGTAGCTGAGCATTGCTGTGAGAGCACAGGCACGACGCTAGCTGCGAGTAAAAGGAGTGTGGTCGCAAAGGAGCGCATTGTGCAATGAAAGGAGAGTGAGTGTCTCTAGAAAGAGACAAGACTTTGCTGATGAGGTCCTGGTGTAAGAGGTTAGGCAGTACGACGTGTATATATACTGCTCTGAGAGAAGTAGGTAGTGCTTCTCGGATGAAATAGGAATCTACTGTGTTTAGCGAAAGTGGCGGAGTTATATCTGTTGGTATTCTTGCGTAGGTCCCATTTTGATTATCCGGAAACAGACAGAAAGAACGGAGAAGCCAATATGATGGGATGGAAGACCCCCCAGCCGGCTCGCCGGTGGTTCTTTCGTTACTAGCATGGAACATGGAGGATTGAATTGCAGATTATAGCCTCTTACCACACATGTGGGCTTCTGGCTTGTGTCGTTATGGAGGCCGAATTGACCGTGATAGTGCAGTTGCTTTGCTTATTTATTGGAGGGAGTGATTTATGACTGGAAATATCGCATTGCCAAGGTGGGGCACGCAGCTGTTCAGGTAGAACTGCTTCCCGCAGTCACCAGGTGAGCTACTGAGGCACCGGGAGTTTTGACATTCCAATAGTTGTAGTATTGCTTTCGGAATGGCCATGTTTCCCCATTACCCAGATGCCCGAGATTCAGCGAGTGTGCGAGTGTTTACACCCCCCTCTTTCTGGAAAAAGCCGACGCCACCCACATCTGGGGCTGTTGCCTTACGGGGGCGAGGCACACGATGGATGTCTCGGCATCGGACAGAATCGGGTCCCACTGATAGATCAGAATGAGGGGAATGAGGGGAAGGTGTCAAAGAAATGCAACCGAGGACGTCTCTCCACATGTTGAGAGATCCTATCTTGGTTTGCATCAAAGGAGAACTGCCAGATAGTTTTAGTGCAAGTCCAGTTTAGGTATTCCCGCAGGTACTGAGTCACGCGAGGCCACTTGCATCAATGTCGAGCAACCGATATGAGCATCTGCACATGCACGCCTAGTGATCACGAAAAGGTTCCCGCTGGATATACTCTTCCTAATAATTTTCCGATGCCTCCAGACTAGGAAGTTCAGGTTCCCGACGGTCCTGAGAATGGTCGTCTAGGCAGGGGATATGGAGGCTTGATTGACGCCTATGCTCGCAATTCTTGCTTATTGTACGCGTCCAATAGGACATGGTGCCATGCGGATGTTCGAGAACGTCTCAGCTGGTGCTGCCTCTGGTGTTCTTGAGTTTCGCCGAGTTGTTGGATGAGGGCGTGCACATTTATCTCGCTTCTTCTGACATAAAGTCGATATCCTTCTCTCTTCCTGCCATGAAGGACATTTAATTTCATTATTTGCGAGAGTGTTGACAGACGATTCTGCCGGTCCGGTCGTGATGAACGGGTCGAAAAGGATCTCGTAGGCACCAATATGTTGACGGCGAGCAGCGAGATTGCTTACATAATACACGGCTAACTCACTCGGCCCGGTCTGCTGACAACTGATCCATCAGCGATTCCCGAGCTAGCCACTGAGCTCAGTCTGATTGTGCTCCCGACATCATCACCCCCCCCCCCCCACAAATACTGCCTACAACTTACAAAATGGGCCGAGTTCTCTTGACAGGTGCATCTGGATTCATAGCTGCTCATGTGCTCGATGCGTTCCTGAAGAACGGGCATTTCGTGCGCTTTACGGTGCGGACTCAGGAGAAGGCGGATCAGATTCTACAGGCGAATATGAAATACAAGGATCAGTTGGAAAGTGTGATTGTCCCTGGTAAACGTCTTCTCCAACCTAGCCACTCCTCTTTCACCCGAGCCACAACAGACTCATGACCCCGAATCAATTGTAGATATCTCAGCCGAAGGGGCGTACGATGTCGCCCTTCAGGACAACTCCCTTGATGGGGTCATCCACACCGCTAGTCCATTTCACATGAATTTCTCCGACCCCCACGAACTTCTCAAACCGGCGATTCAGGGAACGCGGGGCATCCTAGAAGCTATCGTTAGGTTGGCCCCCAATGTCAAGAGACTCGTCATCACTAGCAGTTTTGCTGCTATGATCCATGCAGACGAGGGGAGGTGGCCAGGCCACGACTATAGTGAAAAAGGTGTGTTCGACAAACTTCTACACACCCGTTATTCGCCTCTACCTAACCAACCCATCTGAAATTCATCCGGCTATGCTGACAATTTTCAGACTGGAATCCAGTAACGATGGAGCAAGCGCTTACTGGAGAGAAAATCACGACCTATCGCGCATCCAAAACTTTTGCTGAACGCGCCGCATGGGAATTCGTATCCTCCAGCTCTCCTAAGCCCAACTTTGACTTGGTGACCCTCTGCCCACCCATGGTGTATGGTCCCATCGTCAATGCGCAAACTATTTCCTC